TCCAATCCCTGTACCTTTTGGAGAATATCAGTCTGTCCCTGATGTTTTTCCTGGAGAGAAGTGGGTTCTTTGCTGCCCTTCTTGACACCAGGCCATCCTCAAAGTCTTGGCCTCACTGTGCGTGCAGATGCACTCACACCTGCCTGCTGCCATTCCTGAGCAAGCTCTGCACTGCTGGTGCCCTGATCCCGCAGCCGAATCTACTTTAGGAGACGGTCCTGTCACTTACTGGACTTTCTTGGGTGCCCTGAAGCCTTCTTCACAGCAATTGAACCTCTCTCCTTGAAGTTCATGATGATCCGATAAATGGTTGATTTAGGTGCAATCTTATTAGCAGCATTATCCTTGCTAGGTAACCATAGTTAACAGAGGAAGAACAATGATTTCAAGCACCACCCTCCTTTTAAAGCTTCCAGTCTGTTATTCTAACTCAATCAGCATGACAAAGTGATCTCTAGCCTTGTCCTCGTCAACACTCTCACCTGTGTTAACGAGAGAATCACTGACATGATGTTAGCTGGTCCTTTTGTGGCAGGGCTGTAATACAGTGGAAATGTTTTGGGGATTAAGTTCATTTTCATGGCAAAGAGGGACTTTGCAATTAATTGCAATTCATCTGATCACTCTTCATAACATTCTGGAGTATATGCAAATTGCCATCATAAAAACTGAGGCAGCAGACTTTGTGAAAATTAATATTTGTGTCATTCTCAAAACTTTAGGCCACGGCTGTACATAAGACAGTATAAGATCATTTCATTTCGTTTTACAAATAAAGTATGATTATAAACTCACTACCGTTCAAAAACATGAAATCAGTACAATTTTATTTAAAATAAATTAATACTTTTATTGAGAAAGGAAACAAAAATATTGATCAAAAGTGACAGTAAAAATATGTATGTTACAAAATATGTAGGCCTATATTTCAAATAAAATAAAACTTTCTATTCATCAAAGAATCCTGAAGAAATATGTATCATGGCTTCTTCCACAAACATATATTAATCAGCACAATGGTTTTCAATATTGATCATAAGAATTGTTCTTGAGCGAATCAGCATATTAAAATGATGTCTGAAGGGTCATGTGACACTGAAGACCCCAGTCTTCAATGATGCTGAAAATTCAGCTTTGTATCAAAAGAATAAATTACATTTTAAATATATTAAAACAGAAAACACTTATTTTATATCCACAATAATACAGTTTTACTGTATTTTTGATCAAATGAATGCAGCTTTGTATCGACCGACACTGTGCTAAACTTCTCTGTGGTGACTAATAAGTTGTTCATAGAAATGTTTGTCCTCCGATTAAATAATAAACGTTTAACCGTGACCATAATAACTCTATGACAATGTGTCTGCTTTAGCGGTGTTCAACCTTACATTAGACTCAACTTGGTTTTAAATCCTCTAACTTCTATGACCTCATTTTCAGACCCTCAGTAAACAAGACCCAAAAACAACGTTTGACTGATTCCAAGAAAAGCCCGTATTATAGGCTTCTTAATGACATGTTTTGATTTCGTAGTTGTTGCTATTGTTTAGTTTCTACAATCTTTAATAACTATCTGCAAGCAACTGGACATAAACACTGGCGGTGGCTTGAACCCTAATGAGAAGTCTATCTAGACAGCATTTATAGTCACTTAATCCTAACGAATACCTAACGCGAATATGACGCCTAAACATGCTGTCTACCTAGGGAGCTCAATATGAGAGACACAGTCAGTAATTACCACTGACACGTCCCAACGAATGTCAGCCCACTACATATGTAACAATTGTGCTGTTTCGGCAACAATCAGTTAAAATGAGTGCGTTATTAAGCATAACAACGCTGTGTGGGAAATGAAACGATTCCAGTAGGGTTTTACCTCGGCGATGCGACTCCACGCAACCCCGCTTCGACCAGGGAGCCCGAGGTCCTTCGGACATGGAGTGCTGGTGTTAGACAACGACCAGAGAAATTAAATATGACATCTCATTATCGACGGAGATATGTTGCCCACTGGCGTCTTTAGGTGAGAATAAACCAGTGTTATTTGGACTGAATCGCTAAATGTTGTTTGTCTGTAGCCGCCACAGCGATCGTAGACGCCATATTATTGTTCTGCACTGACGTCATTTCCCGAAGATTTGTCGGTCGGACGGAAATGTTGGAGTTTGTGTGTCAATATTCTCTGCCTACTGTACATGTACAAAATGTTTTAGTTCACTGTCACAGATGTGAAAATTACTTAGAGCACATAAGTCGTGGTATATGTTATGATTTAACTTTTACTTTCCTTATGAATCCTTATGAACATAGAAACCTCCTGTTTCATATTATATTATATTAATTATATTATATTATATTATATTATATGTATTATATATAGTCTCTCTCAGGGACATGCAAAGAATATTTTTCTACTCTTTCTACAGCTAACCTAGTCATATCAATAGCTTATTCTGTTTTTGATGTCTGCGATTCAATGCAGGCTTTAAACTACTTTTCCCTTCACTTTATTGGTACTTTATTGATCCCTCAAGGGCAATTATGTTGCAAATTGCAAAAACAGATCAACACTGTATGGTGCAGAGTATGGTGTTACACATATTACAATAAATGCAGAGAGAGAGAAATAAAAACTATACACAAGAGGTAAGTTTGCACTGTCCACATTAAAGTTTTTAAATTAGTTTCAGAATGAATAGTTGACTTTGATATCTATGTCAGCATGGGAACATCAAAAGAATATGTTTAGACTAATTACAGTGATATGTTTCTTTATGAGGTAGGCCATAAAACTTATGATAATATTAAATTGATTTGGATAGATAGATAGATAGATAGATAGATAGATAGTGATTTAAAAACTACAAAACGTGTGACGTCATAACCATAAGACGGACCCTGGTTTTATCTGCGTCAATCCAACGTGTGTTCAAGTTTGTAGACGTTAATAATATATCAGGTAAATTATGCTGCTGGTTATGTTGGTGTTTTAAGTTTGTTTATGTTAATTATAATATAGGATGCATTTTCCGGTCTGTCCTCTCCGTCTTGGAGATTACTGGGTTTTCTAGAAACTGATTGCATCATCCCATGCCTTCAGGACGCCGTTAGATATATGAGTTTATAATTATCTATTTTGTTTTATGGTTTTATGCCGTGTAATAGTGAAACGTAGAACACTATCTATATGTATATGTCAAGCACTTCAAAATAATTTAACGGGATATGCTTTAATGCCACACATGTATTTGTAAAAAAAAACAAAACTGACAGGCGTTTGCTTGGTCACACTTCCATTCCTTTTCTATCAAGATGGCGGGCGACGAGTCTGGAACAACGTTGGGTCAGCCTCATCTTTCTAAACAAGACCTCAGTACATTAGTAGGTCTTCATCTTGTGTTCGTATTTGTAGTATAACATGTTGTAAAAGTACTAGCTGTATCGACATTTCGAGTTAAGTGGTTTTGTACTCCGTGATGATAGCAGGCGTGCTTGTTAGCTGTACCGGTGAAAGCTCACCACATGATTCATTCGGGGATGGAGAAGGACCCTGTGTAGAAATTATGTGAAAATGCTGTGAAACCCAAATGTCATTGTGTTTAATATAGTTCCAGTCATGTGCTTCTTTGTTTAGGTACTAATCTTGCATATTTCTAATAAAATTAATTCTGTACGTCTGACGTTAAATGTAATGTACTCGACAGTTAATGTTCCCTTATGGCAAGCCATATTAAAGGGGTCATATGATGCAATTTCAAGTTTTCCTTTCTCTTTGGAGTGTTACAAGCTGTTCGTGCATAGATAAGATCCCTAAAATTGCAAAGACTAAAGTCTCAAACCCAAAGAGATATTCTTTATAAAAGTTTAGACTAGTCCTAAAACGTGTAGTTTAAACACGCCCCCACATGTCTACGTCACTGTGTGGGAAGATTTGCATAACACCGCCCAAATGTTGCATAACGCCGCCCAAATGTTCACGCAAAGAAAGAAGGCGTAACTTTTATTCTCGCTGTAGTATTGTTATTGCCGCCGCCATGTCGTGGAGACGCTGTGTGTTTCGTTGTGAAAGCGAAACTAATTTGTTTGGTCTTCCAAAAGAGGACAGGACTAGAAACACTGTTCCAGAACAATTCAACCAAAATATTCAGATGTGTGCAGCACATTTTACGGAGGACTGCTTCCTGAACCTGGGAGAGTAGACTACAATGCTGTGCACAAAGGTTGTTTCTATAAAGTGGGGCAATTCCAACTTTGCAAGGACAGTCTGGCGCTTCTGACTCACAGCCTGTAAGTACGTTTTCATATTTAAAGAATTTGCCATTGACGATTCAAACGCGAGTTTTGAGCAGTGTAGAGTAGGGCTGGGTTTTGACACAAATTTCACGATTCGATTCAATTTTCATTCACAAGCTTGTGATTCGATTCGATTACCGATTCGATTCAATATTTATTATTTTGGATTCATATCAGGTACAGTACATGCCAAATTTTTTGAAGGAAAAAAAATCTCAACTAATGCTGTAAAATATACATGAGAGTCAGTTGGTACTACATTACTATAATATTGAAGGTTAAAATTGACTGATTTGTTAAAATTACACTTAATTAAGTTTTTAAAATAATAAAGTTACAATTACATAATAGTTCTACTTCAATTTTTTTTTTTTTTTTAATATAAACATAATGGTGGCTGTCATAAAAACTTGATGGATTTATTCAAACATAAATTAAACATTGAAGAACAGTAAAAAAAAAATGTGTAATGAATATGCTATATGGCATATATTTAGCAAAATGTCCCTCTCTACAGTTTATTTTTCTATCTGACTAATGAGTTTATGGTCACCGAATATGTTTTTCTGAGGTAAATGTGACATTACGTGGCATTGTTTACAAACCGTTATATTGACGTCTTTGTGCGACTGAAACACTGATTGAGAGATTACATGAGACAGGATATGGATTGTAAAGTACTCTTTCTTTTAACTTACCTTCGGATATTAAGTCATGTTTATTTTGTGTTGAAACTGGTATTAATGTGGAGGAGATGATCAGTTCACGTGCGCCTCGCACAGCGATCTGTCACTCCGCATTAAACAGCGCCAAAACGGCATTTATTGTTTGAATTCTGCAATACAATGGACAGAATTTGAAACCTGAAGCTTTGTTTCATATTAAAAGTACCAAAGCACAATGCTTATTGCGATATATTGGATGGGAAGTGCCCTTCAATGTTCCATCCATTAACTGAACTACAGCGATCTGTCACTTCACATTAAACAGCGCCAAAACGGCATTTATTGTTTGAATTCTGCAATACAATGGACAGAATTTGAAACCTGAAGCTTTGTTTCATATTAAAAGTACCAAAGCACAATGCTTATTGCGATATATTGGATGGGAAGTGCCCTTCAATGTTCCATCCATTAACTGAAAACAGGCTAGAATAATCGATTCTTGGGATTTAAGAATCGATATCGTTCTTTAAAAATGAGAATTGATTAATATCGAGATATCAATATTTTTTTTACCCAGCCCTAGTGTAGAGTAACTTTTGTTGTTTCTTCGATCACAAATGCAGACATGGTTTTATGTTTATGCGGCGCGATGCAACGCAACGCGTAAAAAAGACAGTATAAATCATTAAAATCCGTAATTATGTCCCCAATGGATGCAACAAATGCCTCGTTTGTTATGGGTTTTATTGGTTTTGTCTCGCCACGCCGGGACACGACATCACAGTATGGTAAGGTGTAACATTTCCGCAGTAGGGGTTCAATCTTCAACTGGCTGGCAGGAGCCGCCACTGATGTTCAGTTCTTTACTTTTACATGATTGATGTTTTAGAGGATTTTAGCGTGATTAAAGTGTTTAACTGACCATGATCCCAACTGCCAGCTGATTGTCGCTTCCACTGGTGGCTCAGTCAGACAGCCGCAAGAGCGCTCCGAGTTTAACGCGTTCTCTACCACTCTCTCTACAAGGAAATATATTATTTTATGATTATTAATATATTCTTATGGGTCTAGTCTTTTAATTTGTCGACATTTAATAGAGGCTTATTACAAATAAAGTGACCAAATGGCCGTGTGTTAGAACAAGCCGTTTTAGGTAGGCGTGGTTTACTCTTAACTTTTATAAAGAATATCTCTTTGGATTTGAGACTTTAGTCTTTGCAACTTTACAGATCTTCTTTATGCACCAAGAGCTTGTAACACTCCAAAGAGAAAGGAAAAATTGAAATCGCATCATATGACCCCTTTAATTACTTGAAAGTAAGTGAACAATTATTGCAAGCTACACTCTGAATCAAAAGCTGGTAATAGCAATTATTTGATTCAATTTAAGCTTGCAACAGCAAAGTGCAGCTTTCCTTTTTTAGGGGGAAAACTTGTTTTTCCCTAAGAGAGGCTGTTACAAAGAAATGTGAAGGATTTTTTTCTGGTAGTTGTCACTCATGAACGGATTGATTAATATGTTTTGATGCTTGTCACTACTGATGTTTTTGATGTTGATATCTTTTTCTTAAAGTCCGCGTGAACCGGAAGTTGCTGCCGACTTTATTTCAGTGAAGTGACGTATTTCCAGCTGAAACGGAATATTGAATAGAGGGTGTGGTTTGATTTTTGCGTTCCTCCTCTCATCTCTTACTCATAGCAACCTAACGGTTGGAGGGGTGTGTTTAAGGATATTCTGCCCAAGCCGTCAAACTGATGTCATCAGAGAAGGAATGCAATTCCAAAGTGGAAGTAAATGTTCAGATTTTGATTAAAGATTACCAAGACAAACAATTTTTTTCAGCGGATTAACTTGCACGGTTTAATTGTTCACAGCAAGATTAGCAATGTGCGCTAGTAAAGTAAATACAGTCAAATTTGATTTCATGCGGACTTTAAAGTTACACATGAAACAGCTTGCCATACTTCCTTTTCTTGATAATTAGCATTAACAAATCTGTTTTGCCTTATAGGATGTGAGTAAACTAACTCCTCTGTCCCAAGAGATCATCAGCAGACAAGCCACAATAAACATAGGTGAGATTTCCTTTTACTGTTTTGTGCTGCTTTGCATGCAAACAAATGTCACATGAAATTAATTACCTATATATTTGTCTCTAGGAACTATTGGT